ATTCAGATCTCCCTGGGACTTCATCGACTGGAAGGTGGAGTGATCTGAAAAGATCTTGAAGTGCCTGCCCAGGAGGAAATGCTTCCAATGCTTCAACGCTGACACAAGAACATAATAGTTTTTTCTCATAGGTAGAGTCCTTCAACTTCTTTGTTTTGATATTGTTGCTCATGTATTCGACAGGCTGCAGACCATTCCCATCATCCTGTTGAAGTACCACCCCTACATCATACTGACTATCATCAGTAGTGAGCACAAAAGGCAAAATAGGGTAAAGTAACTTCAAAACAGGGGCACAAATTAAGCTTCCTTGAGACGTGTGAAAGCCTCCTGACACTCTGATGTCCAAAGAAAGGAAATGTCTTTCTTTGTGAGGTCAGTCAGGGGTGCTACAATGGAGGAGAAGTGCTTGATGAACTTCCTGTAGTAGGATGCAAGACTCAAGAAAGACCAAACATCACGAATGTTCAGGCTTCGACCAGTCCCGAACAACAACTTTTGTTGCCTCAGGAGCCAACCCCTCTCCAAAAATGATATGTCCCAGATAGATCACAGAGGGAATTCCAAAAGAGGACTTCTCCCTGTTAATCTTATACTGGTTATCACGTAAGGCTTGGAGGACCAACCCAGATGTTGCACATGCTCCTGGACAAAACGACTGAATACTAGGATGTCATCCAAATAGACAACTACGAACCTGTCCAGGTAAGGCCCGAGTATGCGACGCATCTCTGTCTGGAAGGTGCCTGGGGGATTGCAAAGACCAAATAGCATGACCAGGTATGTGCTATACCTGGTCTTGAAGGTTGTCTTGTGGACATCGCCTTCAACCATCTCAATCGAGTGATAACCAGATTTGAGATCGATCTTGCTAAAAATGGTACAACCCTACACCATATCCAACAGATAATCAATGCGAGGAAGAGGTTCCGTAGACTTCCTCATGGTTTTATTGAGACCTCTATAGTCCACGCACATCCTGAACTCGCCATTCCCCTTTGGAACAAAGAGGACTGGTGACCCAAGGGCCGGATCTAGCTTCTGCTGGTTAGAGTCTCTAACTGTTTCTTGAACTCATCAAGTTCAGCAGGTGACATCCTGTAGACTCGGCCCTTGGGAGGGACTGAACCAGGCAGGATCTCAATCTTATGTTTGGTCTGCCTATGAACAAGTCCAGTAGGCTCCTCCATAAGATCCGAGAACCGGTCAACAACCTGCTGAATCTGAGAGGGACAGGGAGCAGTCTCTATGTTTGTTTGTTTGACAAAAGCCACGAACAGACGGGTGTGGTCAGTCTGGCATGACATACGCATGAAACTGTGAGCACGCATGCAAAAACAACTGCTGGCCGGATGATACTCATCAGCGAGCAAACAAGGGCGATATACCCCATGCCGGTCAAGTAGCTCAACCCTAGGAATCCGCCAATCGATCTTAGGATTGGTGGCACCAAGCCATAGAGAACACAAGGTCAAAGGGAACATTAGGAAACACAAAAATTCAGGGATGCCTGATTTCTCCCTGCTTGTCAAATGTCATAGGAAGATCTTTGACAACAGTCGTGATCCTGACTGTGGATGAGTCGCCAATCCGAACCTCGATTGGCTGTCGCAATTTCACAAGTCTCTGATCCAAGTGCAATTTGTTGACTGCCTTTCGTGCTTTTCGTGCTCGACGGGAACTTGGTGCTCATCGTGCTCTCTCTCTCTCTCTCTCTCTCTCTCTCTCTCTCTCTCTCTCTCTCTCTCTCTC